ACAATGTAAAGACAAACATGTAGTAGAACCCACATCAGCAAAGCTTAGATAGTGGACAGCCTGGGAGAGATTAAAAAAGGGTTTTCCTTGTTAAAGAAAGAAATAGTTCTCCAAGCAAGGTGCCTTTCCATTGTAGACAAGTTAAGAAGCATTTGTTTGACTCATTGAAGATCTGGGAAGTATTTGTTTAATTTGTTCGATAATAAAGGACTTTGTTAAACTTTTCAAGCCTCTAAGACTATTGTACAGGAAAATCCTTGAGGGCCTCTCTTTCGAGGCGCCCTGGCTTCCCGCTGGGTACAAAGTGCACGTCCTATTCAAAAGACAATTTTTACAGGCCCAGTGCACAACAGAACAGTCAGGCTATGCCCGGAAAGCTGGTTGAGCCTGGGACTTTTGGATACTGTTACATTTTTAGTCCTGGGCTGTGCAGGTGCTTGCAGAGAAGCAGAGGAAGATAGCTTTGGAGTGTGCTCTTGCTTCATGAGTTGCAAGAAGGAGTTTCTCCATATGGACAAAGAAAGACCATTTTAAATCTCTCCAAGGAACCTCATCCCACTAGAGAATGAGTCCACTTTAAATTGGGTTGCCGCCTCCTGCAGAATTCTGTGATTTGTAGTTTAGGGAGGAGCCTTTAACAGCCTCACTAAACTACAAACCCCATAATTTTGCAGGAGGCAGAAACTGGATTTAAAGTGGATTCGTTCTCTAGTGTGATGAAGTACTAAAAAGACTTTCTTCACACTAGAGAATGAGTCAATGCAACTGATCACATAATTGTAAATATGCTGTTCTGAATTACAAAGAGTAAACTACTTGTTCTTTATTGATAACACTGTTCTACAAATTTTCAGTTTTTCTCAGTTTCGGAAACGAAATGTGCCGTTTCTTAATAAATTTAACATGCTGAATTCAAATATAATAATTAAATGTGTTAATTGGCTCTGGTTTTTATGCAACAGCTATTTCAATTTCTCCACAATAGGTAATTCGTTAATATTATGATAATGCGCCTAACCTTACTGCATGTATAAACCGTGAATATTTACTAAATTTTAGTCAAATTATATTGCCAATAGTTTATACATGAGAAATATTTATTTAATTAGTCTATTGTTTATGTTTGTGCAGCAAGAAACTATATTAGTAGGCCTAATGCAGTTGAAAGTCTGAAAGTTTAAATGTCGCTTTAATCGTGACTTTAGTTTATATCCTGTTTGCTTCTCTTGACTTTTCTTTTGTATTCAAGGAAAGGATTGTCTCTTACAATGCTCCAGCAGTAGTCTGACAGCATTGACGGAGTCCATTTGCTTAGGAGAAGCCGAGGAGGAGGAGAGAAAAGGGAAGGAGAAGAGAGGAGAGGGAGGAGAAGGAGGGAGGAGGAGGGGAGAGGGGAAAAGAAGAAAAGGGGCTGGCAGATCGATATCAGTAGAAAGGAAGGAGCGCTTTGTCTCACAGAGAGGGAGGAAAAACGAGGATATAGAGAGAGGTTGAGGGGAGAGGAAGAGGAGGAAGGAGAGAGAAGGAGGGGAGGGAAGGGGAAAGGGGAGAGGGAGGGGGAGAGAAAGGGGAGGAAGAAAGGAAG